CTGAATGCTCTCTAAAATCAGACACGCCTAGTCCCGTTAGTACGAGGGGAAAGGGTCTGTTCAGGAAATGCCAAGCTTTCTCAAAACGGTTTTTTGCATGATATAGGGGTACATGCATGGAACATTGAACCGTAGTTCATTTTTCCTGAGCGACCTTCTGAATACCAAAAAAGGGGTTATGAAGTGGTCCGTGGTTCGGATCCTCCCAGTGACAATTTTTTGCATTTTCTGTTGGCGTTCCAAAACTCACGAAAAAGGGAGTCAACGTGAATAGCAGATGCCATATCTATAATTAGGAGCAACACCAACCTTCATACGTAGATATTGACTAAAAAACTGGTGGAGAAAGTTGCGACACCAAAACGGCGCCGTTGTAGCGCCCAATGGCGTCATAGCGAATTCAAATGACGTTTACGCTAAAAACTAATAGAATATTCGTAATCAGGACGCCGAATAACCCCTAGCCCGAAAGTTTCAGGGAAAATTAAGATTTCGTCCTAACTTCGAACAGTTGGACCATGGGTCAGTAGCCCGTCAGGCTCTTTGGTAAACAATTTGGAGGCGACCTTCTTGTCATTTCTTACGGAATGAGAGATCCTTCCCCGTAATAGACAATGGTAGACACTCAAGCGATGGGTGAGAAGACAGCAATGACTATGTCATTAGTTCTCCACCTTGTCAAACACTGGCAGGATGGACTTCTGGTCATAATTCTGGCTGGGTCTACTGCCGATGGCTAGGTCAGCTGCGAAAAACGCAAAGTTGTGTGAGACTTGCCCTGCGAGGGAGAACCTCGGTTTCCGTGGTAATTTCTAGAACGGACCCCTCCTATTCCACGTTAGCCCTTCTCCAAGCCTTCCGGGGGCAATTTGTTTATGAATTATAAAATTTATATCGATGCACACACAAGTTTGTGAGAGACCAATACGAATTTGCAGTCGTAGGATCTCAAAACGAACATAAATCCGCATTATATGCATGCGCAGGAGTGCACGATCACAGGAAAGTGACAATAGAGAAAAAAGCAAACTTTGGCACTGTGGGGAGTCGAACCATCAACAACGCCCCTTCCACTTCCGATTCACAGACCGCACCACTAACCACTAGGGCCACCCGACTACCGCTGACAGCTAGCTTCAGAAGGCGCTGATGAATATTCCACAATAGTTTCAATACATGCTAAGGAGATCGTTTTATTTTTGACCGAATTCCGCACTGTTTTCAATGTACAATTCATGAGAACCTTTTGATATGACACTGGTCAACGCTGTGTGCGATGTACGTCACAAAAAGCGGTTAGAACGGCAGTTTCTTAAGAATTTTTTCTTCGCTCCTTTTTTGGTATTCAGAGGGCCGCTCAGGAAAAATGAACTACAGCTTGGTGTTTCACGCATGTGTCCCGATATCATGCAAAAACCGTTTTTGAAAAAGCTTGGCATTTCCTGGAGGCACGCCGCTGGTTAGTGTATGATTTTCAGGCAAAACCAGACATACCGGTGGTAGAGAAACGAATGCAATATCCGGATGATGGTTCATAGGACCGAAGGACTTTTCGGCGTTTTGCGCTGCGAAAAGATCGCTTATCTGTATCCTCCTAGTGATACCACACCGCTAAATATCTGACAAAAAGGACTAGTTGAAGGAGGCAGTTGGAACTGGGTAGACACAACCAAGGTCTATGTTAGTGCGATCGCTACGACTCGAAGACCGATTTATTAAAGCAGCTGGAGACCTTTTGCGTGGTCCATGCGGTTTTAGTAGTGAAAAGCGGTAGATATTTGACAGGAATTCGTATTTTGTTTTTTTAGCTATGAAAGATATCTCCAAGAAGCGCTACTACTTCATTGTTTGTTTATTACCGCAAAGGGGCAGAGTTTAAGGCGATGTTCATACTTTGCGATGGGATCAGGAAATCGCCAAAGCTATGACCGTCGGCCTTATGCTCGTGATGGTGAGTTGTGGAGTTTGAGGAGCTCTTAGCATGAAAGCAGTATGTGAAGGTAATGGGAAGGCGATGAGTGAGTACAGCGCAACTTGTCAGAAAGGAAACGTAACTCAATGAAGTACTGAATTAGTTCAATGTTTTCCGACTAAAATCCATACCCTTCTGATGACCGTCCTGTATGAATTGTGCGGAATCCAGTGACCCTGTGAGAAGCTACCCTGGCTTTCGAAAAACGAGGAAGAGCGTCGGGTTGCAGACCACACACCACAATTGACGACAGTCAAAGGTAAATCTGGTTAGTAGTTGTTCATAGTGGTAGCTGATTTTTGGTAAATGAAGTTGAAATAAGTGGCAACTGATAGAATAAACTGCAACAGGCTAATCATTTCATCGGCAGAACACATTTACATATTGTGGAGACCGTCAGCACCTGTGGTGTGTGTCTGCAACCGATGTTCTTTTGTAGGCTTTATGAAAGGGGGTAGTATGCTGGATTTATACGAAGTTATTACGGGTATCCCAGAAGAACGCATCGTTTTGTACTCCTTCTGACTAGTAAAGGACGCCATTCGTTACGGGTCCCACTGCCTCCTGCTACAGTGAACCCTTCAATGTGGAGCGGGGAATCCGTGAGCCAGGGGCAGTGTCGCCAGTCTAGGGGGGTGGGGGGTGAGGGCAGACACTTGACATGCGTGAGAAGCTGGAATGTTCGAATTCAACCGCGATCACATGGGATCCCCGCGGGTTAAGGCAGTGGGTCCCGCAACGAATGGCGCCCTATACTAGTCAGTAGGAGTACAAAATGATCACTCCGTCGATAACTTGCGCATCGTTTTAATTCTTCAGTGAGACCGACGTCATAGTCGGCGACGGACCAAGCGATGGAGCGATCGCGATCGCTCCATCGCTTGTCCGTCGCTTGCCAATCGCTCTCGGTCGAGCGATTGGCAAGCGATTGCGCAATGTGCACAAGCGACGGGCGATTGGCCCCGCCCCCAGTCAATGCAGTCGGCTGCGGTATCGATCGAGCAGAGCCATTGCCCGTCGCTTGTGCACTTTGCAAGCGATTGCGCAATCGCTTGCCAATCGCTCGACCAAGAGCGATTGGCAAGCGACGGACAAGCCGTGACCGGCTATGGGACGCGCCAAGGTCTGAAAGAGGGCAAAGAAACAGATCCCGTTCGTTTTGAAGAAGAATCGTGCGATGGCTAAGTTGACCACATTCTGGTAAGTTTTCCCTTGCACCAGCAGCAGAACGAGCGATAAATATTTAGTCAGCTGCTGTAGGGCACGAAGGGGTTAGGATTTATGTGGGAAGCAAGTAGACGCGGAGATAATTTATGGACTGTTATTATCGACCGTGGAATCAATTCCTGCTGTTAGGGTGCGCCACGATCAATTTCTATTCGTTTCAATCGCCAGTTGGTTATAGTCAGACATGAGTTGTTGTCTATACAATGCTTGTGAGGTCAGCGAGCTCTTATTGTTGGGAGCTCCATTATTTTTGTCACTTGGTTGGGCCAGTCTTCGGATGAGCGTGGGCCCTGGCTGATGGTACGAAGAAGGGGCTAGTGCCCGTCTATCGAGCATGGACCGAAATCATCCAAGACCTGTACTCAAGTGACCTGACCCGTTAGAAAGAACGAAAAGGCTATTTGGTCTGGGGCGGGGTGTGCAATACGCGTTCGTCCACGTTTGGTAGCGGAACGTTGCGCTTACACCCACCACTTACTTGTTGATAGAACGATACTCCGCGATGTGTGAGGACTTGTCTCCCTCGTCACCTTGTATACTCCTCTATCGCTCGAAACTTTATCAGAGCAGTTCATAGAAGGGAGGCTAGCTGTATTCTTTTGGTTGGTAAGAAAGCATGCCCAATGGTGGTTGTCTTACTTCGAAAAAGTCGGAAAGTTTCCGCTAGAATTCGAGACAACAGTTCGGGGACACTTTTCTTGACGTAAAGCTTTGGCATGGTGGTGACTATGGTCATCTGCGCTGCATACCCACGACCACGTCGAGGCATTTAGCAACAGGGGAAGTACTATTAAACGATTTCTACTGTAGGTCCGTAAGATCGGGAAATATGCCGTAATCGGAAGGAGCGGGCCCGTTAAGGTGCGGGACGATGCTGTTACATGGGCGACAAGAGCACCAATGCGGCGCTCTAGATAGTCGTTGCCAGCATGTATCGCCCGCGCGTTGCGCCGGCTGTCCACCCACGGCTCGTAGTGTCTGCGGCTTAGCATAGCGGAGCTAAAGATGATAGATAAGAGAGCGCCGTGGCGTCGCATCATTGCTTGGAAGTCAAGACAAAGAGGGCAGTTTCTCGGGTATTCATTAGGCGTTACCAAATGATTGCGAACATTCATTCGACGTTGGGTGCGTTTGAAACTGTAAGGTTGCCTTACTGTAACTGTTTCAGAGTACAACTCGCTGCCATTTTCCTGTGAGGTGCGGCTAGTTTTTCCAAAGGCTAGTATAAGATCGCGAGAAGAGTTACGATGAGAATACCCATATATTGGGCTCTTCTACTCCAAGACTTCGACTGTCAATGTCGCACCAACACTTGAGTATTTCTTTTTTGAACTGCTTGGAAATTGACCGATGCATCGGAAAAATCGAATGGCTTGCTTTGCTTGCAAAGCGAAAAGCATTCTTCACCGTTACGCGACATCACATGTGTATTCCAGGAGTAGGAGAAACAACAGCAAGCTAGCACTGCTAAAGAAAGCAATTATTTCATAACCAGCACAAGCGCAAGTATAATCAACTATAATACGTGCTCCTAGCAAAAACGACTTTCCATTAAAATGGCATGAATGGATTTATTAAAGCATCATGAGGAAACACTGGCACTGGATTTCCAAAGAAAGTTGAAACAATAGCATTTCAAGAAGTGGATTAAAAATGAGATAAAAACCTGAGTAGATCACAGATATTCTCGCCTCAAATTAGGTCACAGACATTCGCTTTTCAAGCGGAATTCCTTGTTTCTCTCGAAAAATTATTACGTACAACGGATAAATTAATAACAACGAAAACGGAAGTAACCGAACTAATATACATGCACCATTCCATAAAGAAATACCCAAAATAGAATGTACGTGAAAAGACCACCAACGATTGAATGTGTCACTGAAAGAGTACGATCAAGAAAGTACGACCTCCACTCGAATCCAGCCTTCGCTTCCCAAAATAAGGCCTAAACAACGACTTTGACATGCAATGGCTACGCAAAAAATCTAACAGCTTAAAGAGGGAGATGTTCTCCCTGGTTACTTTTGAAGATGTGGAAGTAGCTAGGGCTAGGACTTTAGCTGTCTCTACACTGACTATAGAACCAAATTCTGCCCAGATCAATAAACCGTTGAGAGACGGCTGCCTTGCCTAGGATCATGAAACTAAATATGAACGTAATAAAAAATTTCTTTAAATATAACACAGTATTCGAGAAGCGCGAATGTGCTGCAAAGACGATCGATCAACGATGAACACTTTATCCTCCGTCTGGAAATGTAAGCATCTATCATTTAAACCGGGATAAGCTGAATTGGTATGAAGGAATGAACCCACGTAAATAAGTGCCAGTGTAACGGGATGGAACCGCATCAGCATTGATTCTCCATTCTTTCTCTCATCGAGTAAATGTTAACCAAGCTCCAGAGGATTAACACGTTGACGACAGCGTGACGCGGTAACGCGTCCCACTTTGCGCACCTCGTGGGACATTGTGACGCGGTAACGCGTCCCACCCAAGTCATCCCTTTTTGCGCGCGACTTATTCCTAAGGTCTTTGTACTCATTCTATAGGTCATACATTAGCATACTTAAAAACCACATGGCTCACAGAAAGGCCAAATATTCTTTAGTTTGGCAGACGTTTTCCAGACCTTACGGATATGTCTGTTCAGTTCATTCCTCGTTTTCTTTTCAATAACGTAAACATGTTGATAAAAAGGAATAATAGAAGCGAATACAAACCTATTCGTATGGGAAGATATGTGTTTTTACTGAAACAACCACGTCCAAATTAATTTTGGAACACTAAAGGGAAAGTAAGTAAAATTTGCCTTTTCATGGCCTTAACACGTCATTTCGGTCAAACTTCCATTACTGTAACTCCCGATAAGCTAGACAGATCGAACATTATTGAAAACATTTCATCGCATCTAAGTATTGCGGATTTACAACTTAAAATCCATGGATTTGGTGTGCGGCGGCTGCGCTCGCAAAATCGCTCTTGTCCCACGCGGTGCAAAAGCACAAAACGCGCGATGTCGTCAACGTGTTAAGAGAATTGGTTTTGAAACCAGTATTTCTACTCTCACAATTAGTTTGTCCCTTGATAATGGAATTACGGAGGGAAATGGCAAAGTAATCTCAGCAGAACGACCACAAGGATCTGACGACCGCGAGTGATGCCTCTAGCCACTTCACATCAACTCCACAAAAGTCCTGATCGGAAGTTCGATCTCAAAATGGAAGGACATGAATTGGAAGAAGGTGCACTCACCTGTATAGCTACAGTTATGAAGTAGAAAATGAATCCCGGAATCCCTGTCAAGCCGAGAATTCCTTAAACAAAACTGATCCTTTGATGGATATTCCACACACGGCAAAGGCAAACCTGCTCAGCCATTCCAGAATGCTGCTTGGCACGCCTACTGTATTCCAGAGAGCTGAAGTTATTCCTCATGGCGGACTCACTAAAACGAGAAAAGTATGAGCAAAGAAACTTGCCAGACTAAGTGGGCTTTTCTCTTCATATGCGAAGAGCGTATTTGTGCAAGATAGTGCCGCTTTTCACCACGGCTACTCGACGAAGTATCAAGTAACCGGTAGACTACTCAAGAGGTTTACAGGCTACAAACCTGACTAGAAATGGTTCTTGTCTTGCAAAACTGGCAAATGCATTACACGCAATAAGATGCGCGCTGAATTTCTTGTAACATGAGCTTCGTGCAGTCGGCATTCTAGAAGAAGCGGCAAAACGGGAATTTGGGGAAATTAGTAGGTGCGCCCACTCCTGCAGCTGAAACGCTGTTCACCCGTTTCCCATTTTTCTTCATGACCAAGTCTTCATGATCTCAACATAGTGCAATTCTACGTAGAGCGGAGTAGGTGCTCCGTCGATTCATAAATCGCAAAATCTACACGCGACACAATAAAAGGAGACATATGCAAAAGTTGATCAATCGTGCCTACCACATTTTCGAGGAAGGTTTTGAGAACTTCTTTCATTCTTCGCATAACTATTTCCCTTTATTCTGGATGTGTTACAAAAAAGTTTTGCGCAATGTGGCTCATGGGGGCCACCTCGCAACATCGCGTCAAAATCACGGAACTAAGCTTTTGAAGAGGAGAGGAACTCCGGTGTACGGAAGCAATTTTCGTATTCTCCGGAGTTCGTCCCTGCTGTTTAGGCTTAGTCCTAGATGACTTTTCTCAGAGTGCCCCCCCGAGCCACATTGCGCCAAAGTTTCGAGTTTTGGCAGTGAGACTATGTTACTTATAAAAAACATGAAACTCTATAGGTCAAGGATGGGAAGATTATTTGATAAAATAATCCAAAACGAGAAAGAAGTAAGTCACACAGACATGCTGTCACCAACAATACGTTTACCCGTCTATTTTTTTACTCTTCTACCGGCTTAACCAATATTCCATTATGAATAAATCTGATCACATAGAATGAAGGAAAAGGAAGGATTTAGTGGCATTCTTATGCAAATCGTACAATACGTTAGAAAAACTCTGACAAGAAATTCATCAAGTGTGAACAAAATAATTGCAAAGAATTACCTGAAGACTTCCAGGCCTTTCTGCTTGTCCCTACTCTTGTCGGACAATTTTGCCTTCGGTGCCATACCTCAAACCAAAAGTATTATGAACATGAATGAATCAAAAACACACGTGAATCACATGCTGTGGGAATGACTGTCAGAATTCTAGATATACAACAAAATGCGCAAAACGCCACAACAACGGCAGAAAATCTCAAGCCTAGTCGTCAAATCAGATGTGTCGGATGTGTGCCACAGACAGCATGACATAAAACACGACGCTACGGGAACGCATCCACCACCGTTGATCCCATCCTATGCATGGTGGAGACAGGATTGCGTATGAACCAACTATATTCTCCGTCTGGGGCAGTCAGCGCGATCCCTCAGAGAAAAGAGGACGCAATGTGGCTCGGGGGGGGGGGCGAGGGAAAGGGGCAGTCGCCGCGCGCGATCTCTGCGTTTTTCTGTGTAGGGCATTTCCTCTTCGCTGAATGGTGACTAAGCCTCG